CCACTAACGCCATTGGATTTGATTCATTTGCCTGTTAATGAACATGGTAGTTTAGATGGGAACGGAAGGCGGAAATGGTAAAGGTATTGCATGAAAAGGTCAAGTTCCAAATTGAGCAAAAGAATAAGCTCTATGCTACACAAGCCAACAAAGGGCGGAAAAACGTCACATTTGAACCTGGCGATTGGGTTTGGTTACATTTGAGAAAATAACGATTTCCAGAACAACGAAAGTCCAAGTTGCGGCCTCATGGAGATGGTCATTTTCAAGTCCTTGAACGGATCAATGACAATGCTTACAAGCTAGATCTTCCTAGTGAGTATAACGTTTCAGCTACTTTCAATGTGTTTGATCTCTCTCTGTTTGATGCAGGTACAAATTCGAGGACAAATCCTTTTGAAGAGGAAGGGGATGATGTGATCCAAGGAGCCGTTGCAACGAGGACAAGTCCGGGAAAATACCAATTGATAGTTGAAGAAGGGCCGATGACTCGATCGAGAATAAGGCGAGTAAAAGAGGCGATAACATTACTTATTCAAGCTACGGTCGATGATATGGCATTCGTAATGAAGAATGAAGCAAGTTCCGTGTTGGGGTCGAGATCGGAATCAAATTGGAAGAACCTGATTTGGATGACTAAAGACCGGACAGCAGGCACTGGCACCCCCTCGCCATTGTATGGCGCCCCTGCGCCGTAGGGGGCGCCTCGGCGCCAACTGAAAGCGTCAAACGTGGTTTTTACCGTAGTTATGAAAGCCCCTGCGCCCTATATTTCCATATATTGATAGGATTCTAGTAGATTACAGATTCTTTTCGTTTTTGTAAGTTAATTTCGAGTTTTTCCTTATTTCTAGAGTTTAGTATAAATATTTACTTTCATTGATTGTAAACTTCAACCATTATTATTATTGAATCAATTGTGAGGCTTTATTGCTTTCAAACCCTTTGTTTTTCATTGAACAATCTCGAACTTATCAAGAATTGATTTCTTGTGGCGTTCAACATCCGGGCTAGATTCATCTGGCGTGTGATCAAGAGGTCAACATATTGTCGACGATTGTGTGGATTGCTTGGTTCATAATTCTCGGGTCGAATCCAAAACCTCAATTCTATTGGCTTTCTTGGGTTGTTCTAATTTCGTTGTGGGTTGCATAGCTACTATTACTACGTGGTTCTTATCAGGAATAATTTTTGATTGATTATTGCGCTCTATTCACTAGGATGACCAAATGGGATAAGCTAAATTAATAATTTGATCAGATAATACGATATAGACTAGGCAATACTAAATTATCGAAACTTGAATTAGTTATGTCGAGACCTTCGATAGCTCCTTAAAAGACTTGATCGTAAAATTGATGGAAAGTTCACGGACTACACATGCAAATAAATCAAAAGGCAAACCTAGACCTAACACGAAAAAATAAAAAATGAATATTTCTTGTCCTTCTCCCGCAAATTCCTCCTAGTTTTTGTGTTTCTGCCTTCTGTATCTATTCTATATAGTGAATTCTTTAGATAACATCAAATGAAAATTGAAGGTTAGTAGAACAAAGAATTCCAGTATGCTCAGATTCAAGAATAGAACAGGTTCGCAACTCGCAATCAAGAACAATAGAAGATTCAGAATTAGATCTAATTACTACTAAAAGAGATTTTCCACTTAACTTAGATGCTATGATTTAAAGTTAACAGCAACAAATGCAAAAGCAGCCTCTTAATTAATAACCAAAACTAAATAAAAAACACTCAATTCTCACAATGCTGACATTCCTCAAGCTTATTATAATTTCAAAACCAGTCAAAAAACATGGAAAAAGAAGTAGAAAATTAAGAAAAGAAAAACCAAAACTACATATTGCGGATTACTCTCCACCATCAAGCATAAAAATTGAGGTATGCTGAAGTTTGGCCTAGTACTTGTAGTCCTTGACATGGAGGCTCTCAGAGGCACCCTCACTCAATGCACCACCCTGGTAAGTTCCAAGGGTTGCTTCGGAATTGGCCTTGCACCTTGCAAGGAATGCAGCCTGAGCCTTCCCAATGTTTTCGTCCTTTCCAGCCCAAGCCTTGAGGGTGCTCTGCTGCAGGGCACGCCCAAATGAGAAAGAAAGGAACCATGGCTTCTTGGTCTTAAGTTTGTTCATCGCGTTAAGATTGCGTGTTGCCTCCTCTTCGCTCTGCCCACCAGACAAAAACACCACAGCAGGAACTGCAGCAGGCATTGTGCGTTGCAGGGCACGAACTGTGTACTCTGCAATGACTTCTGGTGCAACCTTGGCCGCATCAGACCCGGGGGTAACCATATTAGGCTTCAACAAAGTTCCCTCAAGGAGGACGTGATGGTCATTGAGTGCCTTGTAGCAAGCAGCAAGAACACGCTCGGTCACCTCAGCACACTTGTTGATGTCATGGGGACCATCAACAAGGATCTCAGGCTCAACAATAGGTACAAGACCGTTCTCCTGGCAGATGATGGCATAACGGGCTAGGCCGTTGGCATTTTCATTGATTGCAAGTTGTGATGGTTCATTGGGGCCAATCTTGAGAACAGCCCTCCATTTAGCGAACCTGGCACCAGCTGCATAGTACTGCTGGCAGCGTTGAGCAAGGCCATCAAGACCTTGGGTGGTGGTCTCACCATTGGTACCCGCTAGCTCCACTGTACCCTTGTCAACCTTAATTCCAGGGAGGACTCCACCTTCTTTCATGACATCAACAAAGGGCTTTCCTGAAAACTCAAAATAACAAAGTAATATTAGCTTCTTCAACCGTTATCAATTATTTAGTTAAAAATTACTGTTTTATATGAATCCTAGGACACATTTATGCAACACAAGACTTTGTACATATACCTGCAGCAGTCTTCTGATAGAGTGTTTCCTCAAAGAGGATAACACCACTCAGGCATTGAAGAGCACCGGGAGTGGTGAAAAGAAGCTCACGAAGAGCCCTCCTGTTTGTCTCAACATTCTCAACATTGATGCTAGCTAGACGCTTGCCAATGGTGCCAGTCGACTCATCAGCAGCAAGGATACCCTTTCCAGGAGTACCAATGTAAGCAGCATTGGCAATGAGCTCATCTATGAAAATGAGGATAACTCATTACGTAGTGATGAAGGGGAAAAACGCAAAACCAATCAAAAAGTACACATCATCTACCAAAAATTTAGATGTGCAATTAGTACCAGAGCATAAAAAGTAATTATTATGCAGTAATAATGCAAAAATGCATTCAGATTTGTGAAGACAGGCCGTGCTTGATCTACTTCAAGCGCATCTAGAAAACCGTAGTATTGCATTATAGTTTTCTTCCTGGATAGATAACTCCTAATATAACTAGATCTAGCATGCACACACAACAAAATCCACAACTTCTTCCTCAAATTTAAATTTTCGCCCAGGGAATGTAACAAAATTATCTTAAACAATTTCATCAATCATACCCGAAAATAGTAAGAAATCAATTTTTTTCTCTCTCTTTTACTGTGAAAAGCATTCTTCCGGAGAAAAAAAGTTACAATTTCTTACTTAAACCATAATGTTTAAAAATTGCTATATAAATATATGTTAATGCAATTGAAGATTCAATCAATACAATCATTTTTACCAGTAAACAATTAATGGAGGCCACAACGGATCCAGGCCCCCAGTCAATACTAGGATATACACTAAGTTTTAGGAAGTATTAAAACACAAGTGAAAAACTAAACAAATGAAGTAATGAACCAAGATTCAACAGATACTATCGACCATATAACTAATGCTTCTGCAGCAGTGAATTCATATTAAAGAGTTAAAATCATTGACAATTATAAAGCCGAAAACTGTCCTTGAACAGATCAGAAAAATATAAAATCTCTTACTAACACGCTCAAAATTCAATCTTTTGACAAAAATTTAAGGAATAATGTTCCAAAAGTCCAACCAAATAAAAATTCTATATCTCAAAAATAACAAGCAAAAGGAAATATCAGGTCAGACCCGGATCTGATGAAAGATACAATCATCATTTCAGAAAAACACAATATCAAATTACACTAATTAGAAAAATACAAGACAAAATAAATAGGTGAAAATCAATACCAGTGTACTTTCCCTTGTAGCAAGACATGGTCAAAGTGCAAGAAATTGAAGAAGAAAAATATATCGTCTATAGAGAGAAATGGAGAGACGGAAGCAGAGTTTGGTAGGGAAGTGATGAATGGGGTTAGGGTTTTAATATAGTGTGTGGGGCTAAAAAGTTACCATCGATTTTATCGCTTAATCTCGACCCCTCCTCCACGTAACCACTCTTTAGGGTAGGTTTTATGTTTTGACTATTTTGTCCTTATAAATACGTTCTCTTACATTAAACACCTTCATCTGCAGGGAAATAGCAACGAAGGTCTCCAATTCTTGATGCATGTAGCACTTTGAACCTAAACCTTCAAAATATGGTATTTACGTTCCCATTTTTTTCATAGCACTTAAGTGAATTTTAAATTATGTGTGAATTTCTTGTTTATTTTCTTAATAAAAAAAACTTACATATTGCAAATCTGCGTTACTTTAGAATTTTGAGAGTAGAACGCAAGGATTCAAACCTTCGGATCTTTAGGCTGCTACTTTGATCACATGAAATTGTCATAAAAGTAAAGTATCAAAGGCTTTGTCATAGGGGAAGTTAGCGGGATTAGTTAGATCTCATAATCCTCTTGCAAGTTGCACATACAATTACAATTACAACACTTGCTGAGAACATACGTCCTCCAATACATATAAGTCATGTTTGGTAAGGATTAGAATCTGAATATATTTTTTAAGTCAGAAATAATAATTAATTTTAAACACATATTTAATAGAAATTATAACTTTTCAACAACACATTTCTTCAATTTTTATCAAAATTTACTAAAAATCTTAGTTTAATATCCACCAAACAGGGGCATATTGTTTTTTTTTTTTTTCCTTCCTTTTTTAATTGTTGTGTTTTATTTAGGCCATGTTTAATCTTCATTGTCTAAAAACATTTTTTTCAAGTTCAATTTCAACTAAACATTCTCATAAAAAAATATTTTACAAATAAATTCAAAATCATACATTCTTCAAAAATTCACTATTTCAAAACTCATTTCAACAAAAAAAAAAAGTGGCTCAAACATAAACTTAATTTTCTGTTCATATAAAGATGAGTGTAAAGTCATTGAAGAGAAAAAGATGAGTGTAAACTAGTCCATAAGGACCCAAGTGCTATCAAAATAAAATGTTGGTCACATAAAAGAATCCATTTAAAAGATTGTTAACCGAAGTACAACCTCGTCGAAGATTGGAGACCTCCGCTGCTATTTTCTCCTCCATTGGACTTTAGGAAGGTAATACTTGTAATTAATGTTAAGCCAAGGGGTATAAATAACCCTTGGATTACACGAAAACCACGTACTAACATTTGGTGGGTGAGAGGGGTCATTCATAAAATGGCCCACCGCATAAGGCGGTTGTATAGGGTGGAGCAACCTTTTTTGGTAAGAGAAAGTGGAAAAATGAAAACCAAGAGCGACACCTAAAACGGCGGGTTAGGCAGCCGTTCCTGGCCCCTTGTATTCATTCCCAGACCCCGTGTTGTTTGGTGCCATCTGCCTTTTTCTTTTTTTTCTTTTTTTTTTTGCCTCATCTCACCTAATTCTTTATTAGGAAATTTTGTATCTATGGACCAAAGAAAAAAAGTCTTATTTCGAAATTTTTTTTGAAGAGTATAATTATTTATTTAAATGCAAGTTACTTTTTTTTTTTACTTTATCTTGAATTATTTTCTCTCGTCTTGATATCAATGATTCAATAATATTTGTATTATTATAGTCAAAACCGCCAACCATATGTTGACTTTGATTAAAGCTTGGGGCGAGTTGTACTTTACAAAAACTATTACTTGAGTCAATTAGTTTTCCGTTTCGATAAAGATGTAATTGAACTAAAGAATTAGCAGACATTTTATCTCGTCATCCTCTCTTCAGAAAAAAGGGTGCGTCCAAATCCATTGGTACTTGTATTTATAATATCTAGTATATTGTGTGATAGAAAGTCGTAATTGGCATTCTTCTTCCCAAGTTGTGTATTTTACATAAAAATTTAAGCAATAACCAGACCACGCGAGGAACTGACGTATAACCAAGAGACGGCACAATGTAAATGAATAAACAAAAAAAAAGGGTCAATTTTCATGCATTATGATGGCTGCTACTCGTCATTTCCCACGCCTTAATCAAGGTACTCAACTTTTGTTTTATATTTACAAATATAGCTTAAATTTTTAGTCACGCATTGAACATATATTTAATGGGATTCACTATTGTACAATCACACATTTCATCAATTTTTATTAAATTTTATTGAAAATTTGATATATATTTTTTTATCAAAACTAGGAACTTAGTAAATCTTGATAAAAGTTGATGAAATGTGTAATTGAAAAATTGATATAAATTGCTAGTTTTATGAAGTGTGTGGTTGAAAACGATTTTGAAGAAAAAATGAGTTTTAAAAAATGCTACCAAACAAGGGCTTATCCGATGTTTGTTTAATAAAAAAAATTTATGTTAAACTCAACAATTAATTTTAACCATACATTTCATCAAACCCATAAATTTGCGTTCTTTTCAACCACAAATTAACTTTTTTTTTTTTAATCAAAATCTACTAAAAATTAATTTTTTTCAGAAAGCTTAGCCACAAGTTCAGAGCTTGTTTGGGAGGGATTTTGGGGGGAAGAATTGATTTTGAATAGTGATATGATGGGAAATGTGTGGTTGAAAAATAAGAAAAAATTATTCAAAATCAATTCTTA